GTCCTGCGCCCCACCCCACCTGAGCAGTGGCTGCCCCTGCCCCCTCCCTCCCTCACCACAGGGGCATTGATCTGCACCCCCCATGCCCCTTCCCTCCCCACTCCCCTTCCAGCAGAACAGACTTACCAGCTGCATGCTGTACTGTGGCTGTGCACATGCACAGGCATTTATCAGCCAAATTATTGGCCACTTCAAGCCAATTTTAGATACAGCCAATTTTCTTTATATCGGTGCCAATCCGATATCAGACCAATGGATTGGTGCACTTCTAGCAATAACCAGTAGGCACAGGTACCCACAAAGGACCAACCTTTTATATCTTTACTGTAGAGGACAGAAGAGTATGCACACAGCCTCAGTGGATACCCCTATGAGACTCTAGGCTCACACTCTATACACATATTCCCACTTAGAAGAGGCTAGTTATGTTAGTTTGAAGTCAGGCAGGGTAGCAACTTTAAGACTGACTGGTTTGGTAGCTTGTTGCCTATAACTGATGTCTCTGAACCAGTAAGTCGAAAAAAGACAGGGCAGCTTTTTGTTGGCATGGACCAGAGCTTACAACTGATCAAGCAACAGCTGTGGGTTGGCAGTCTCCGCCCTCAAACCCAAACAGCGAGCTGTCAGATTCCCAGCCTTTCTGCGGTGAGCATCAGCTTAAATCAATGGTCACCAACCAGTGGATCTTGATCCACCAGTAGATCTCTGAGCCTCTTGTAGTTGATCAGAGGCTGGGATGGGGACTGAGTGCCTGTGTGCATGCATGCACATGCCCCAGCCCAGCAGGTCAGTCCATGGGGGATGAAAGGGGTAAGGGCTAGATTAAGGCCCCCGCAGTGAGGGACAGTGCCGCAGAGGCAGGAGCAGGGGTAAGCTGAGTGGGGGCCCCAGCCAGAAGGGGCTTATCTGCTGGGGAGGCACACCCTGAAATAATTGTTATTCCTTCTGCCTTGTATCCCCACCCCCTTCCCTCCCACAGACTTACCTGCTTGGGGGGGGGGGCACACTGGAAAGGGAGCGGTAGCAGCCATGCACAGTAGATCTTGGGTTGCTTTTAAATGCCAAAGGTGATCTCGTACTTTAAAAGGCTGGAGACCACTGGCTTAAATGGTGATTAGCAGCAGGCCCCATAATGGAGGTGAGCACCACAGAATGGATAGGCATTACAGCACAGCTCTGTGCCACCAATCCCCCATGTAAAATGGGACCTCTTTGCAGGCTCAATCTGGCCCATGGACTGTAGGTGGCTGACCCCTGCTTTAAGGTGCCACCCTACCCTACCTTCTACTTGATGTCCTTACATAAGGCCCACATGCACAAATAATAAAAGCAATTGTAAACCAGAATAACAATTTAATCTGTCCTCCTTTGGAAGTCTGGAGGGAAAGGGAGAGAAGGGAGTGAAAACATGATGCTGTTTGCATTATTTGAGACAATCCTAATTAAGACGTTTATGTACAGTACATAGTAACACTGTATAAAGAGCAACACGAGAAAGCATGAAAGTGCTTGAGGAAGACAGAACTAATAGGCAGTATAGCCTGACATCTTTTATGAATATACAATGAGACTGAGAGCCTACTATGTTTTCAAGATAAGATGGGGCTGGGAACGGTCTTCAGTGAGTGTTTGAGATGGTGAAGGAGGAGCCAACACAGCATCTTTCCAGGCAGATACTAGCAGACTGGATGCTTGCTTCAAAGCCTGTCAGGTTCTGGCTGTGTATGCCTGGGGCTGCTGGAACTCTTCAATTCAACTCCAGTGTACTAGGAACACTTTAATACCAAATTGTGCTACAGGCAGTTTCTTGGCATCTGCATTTCACTAGTCTCAGTCTATGGGAGGATGTGGTAAAGTGTAAGAAAGGCTAGAGGAATCAGTATTATTCCTACTCTATCACAAGCATGCAACTTTTGCTGATCCTCCATGTGCAACCCACTGGATACAAGCATGTGTGTTTAGAAGCAGCAAATAGACAGCTATTGAGCACCTTACTGGTTGCCAAGATTTTCCTTACGAGATACAATATTTCTTCATCATTTTTTATTTCTTCCTTTATCTTAAAAATGAAAGAGACAGCCAAGCACAAGGCTGAAACAAGACAGAAGATCATTTACTAGAGCAGAGAGTAACACTGCCCTCAGAACCGATGAATAGCAGAAACTCCAAGAAGGTTGCATAAAAGAGGATCTGGACAGTCAACAGTCTTCAGAAACCAGAGGTTCTGAGCATCCTCAAAGTACTAATTTCAAGTTTAAAAACAACTGAAGCACTGGAGAACAAAAGATGAAGACAAAGTGTCCCAGGGAGCCAAAATGCATTACCATCTGACAACAAGCCAAGGAAACTTCCTGAATTCCTCAGTGGTTTATGAGGTGGTAGGAAGTGGTCCCCTATAAAACCAGGGCTTTAAGCCAGGGAGCCCTCCCTTTATTTGTACACAGAAACATGAACCCCAAGTAGGGATTCTGCTGAGACATTCACTGTCTGCTAACTCTGAACTTTCCCACTTCTGTGCCATCAAAATACTGGTGTAATGTTTCAGTAAGTATTATTGGGAAGAAAGGCCTATATTTAAATTAAAGGGCTTTTAAACTTAAAAATAAGTCTTTTATCACTACCACTTAGGAATGCTCAATAGTGAAGTCTTAAAATTAGAAATAATTTTAAAAAGTCACATATTACTAGGGGATTGAGAGGAAGCTCAGAGTTGTTTCAGTTACTAATCTCTGTACAAACAAAGCATTTCTAGAAAACCAATTGGCACTGTTATGTATCTTAGCCATATTACTTGAAACTTATCTTAAAAATTCTACCTTACAATATGAAATACAATTAAAAAATAAGAGCCAAAATGAAATAAGCAGCATTTTCAACATCCTTTCAAGCTCTTATTAAAAATTAAATATTGCAACATTTTTCTTCCATTCATTTGAGAAAGAAGAATTATGCCTACCTTATCAGCACACATTGCCACTTTAATGTCTTGTTTTGTAATTTCATAATGTCTTATATTTCGTACATAATTCCCAACCAACTTTAAGATATCTGCAGAAATGTATTCTAATACTGCCACTATGTAAACAGATACTTGGTGGTCAATTTTATAGCCTAGAACTTCCTGAAAGTAAAAAACAAAGAGTGCCTTATTAAAAGGATATTCATCTGATCAAAAAGCTAAGTTATATATCTTATGAAAAATCTATAAATCAAATATTTTACACAGTAATCATTGAACAGTCAACATATATTCAGTCAGTGCTGGCAATACTATAGCACTTCGCTATACTTAGAACAGAAATAACAACAGTGTCCCAAAAAAATACCATGGTACATAACCATTTTGAAATGGTGACAACCCTACTAAACTTCTATAATGTGCAATACAATTCCAACTAACACAGTGCCATTTGAAAAGCACTAAGCTCTCTTTAGTTAAAATAAAAATGCTCCAATTTTTGGCAAATTAGTCTAATCTTTTTTTCTCACTTTACTGGATTACAAGAAAACTTAGAAAAAGCATCTGAGAAAAAAGCAGCAGCCTAACTGTATTCTAAATACATACAATCAACTAAAACGGAAATGTTCCAAATGATACATAATATTTGTGAAATTGATGCTTTACCCCTTTTTCAGTTAAGTAACAGGCAACATGCAGACAGTGAATCAAGCATAAAAATGACAACTTTATCACCAGGTGATTATGAACAATGCAGATTTGCCTGACTTTAAGTAGCAAAGTTGATATTTGAATACTTGCCTTTAACAAAGGATGGATTTTTTCCACTGGGAGAGATAATGGGTTTCTTCGCTTCCTTTTTTCAATAGCAGATTGTGCATCAGCAATTGCCCACTTATCAATAGGATGGGGAAAGCTCTTTTGAACACGATCCTTAGGAGAGAAAATAGCAGCTAGCAGCTAAGTATGTAATCTCAAAAGTATTCACCAAACAGTGTAGCAGCTAACTTAAAACAATTCCTCGATGCAGTTTCCTTATGCATATGTCTATGATGTAGTCATTAATTATATGAACAGATACAATTTTTCCTCTGTAAGACTGCAGCTTTATTTGGAGTAATGTGATGCACAGCACTCACTGTAGGAGAAGCAATACACTATCTGTTTTAACCTCATAGTCCAGTGTGGGCCCATATCTCATTGCCTGCATTACCACCAAACTCTGTTCTCAGGAAAGAATTATCTCCTTGGACTTCCCTACAAACACTTCTCTCTGGAATACTTAAGTTCTTCATGCATTAAAAAGATTATCTTTAAAAACAATGCTTTTTTTTAAATAGATTACTGTCTACCCCTAAATTCCATATGAACTGAACAAGAACCACCATGAGGCTTCAGAGAAGTGCAGGGTTTATTCCAGTTACTTCTTCCACCCCTCAGTAGCCACTGTGGTGCTATAAAGAGAGAGCCTCTCCCATGCTGTGAATGATGCCTTTGTGATATCCAGACAGCTACACAGATGGGGAGCCAAGGCACAGATGTTCATGTCAGAGGTGCCTGACAATTTTAGGTGCCCAACCAGAGATTCTAATGGCTCAATTTCTCAGACAGCATAGCATTTTTGTTCAGAGTACAGCTCTTAGTTGCAGTTTTGAGTGCTCACTTATGTAAATGACACCCAAGTTTGAGCAACCGGAAATAAAGAACACACTTGTGAAACATATGGTTTAAGTAGCTTGTCCTGCATCACAGAAGAACTCCAAGGCAGAAGCAAGAATAGAATCCCATTCTCCAAGACCACCTTAATTGCACAGACCACCTTAATTCTGCTGTTGCAACCACAGTGTTCTCTTAATGTAGGTGCTTAATTTTCCAGGTTTTTAGAAGTGTAAACAAAAAAAATAAATCCCCTTTTCTGGAATCATGATGATTTAAAGACCACGTTTCATAAACCAGGTTAAAATTTTTCATCTAGAACAGACTTCTATCACCTGAGCTAACAGCAGTGATAGTCATGTCTCTCAGCTCCACCAGAAGGAGCTCTGGCACGCATTTTGCCCACAAGGTTGTCGCCTATTTGTGAGAAGCAAGGAATACTGGATATCAGGAATCCCAGGTTTTCTTCCAGGTTTGGAGGCAGATGCATGCTTAGTGGTTAGAGACATCTATTCCTGCCCCTCCCAGCCTCATTCTAATCCCAGTTGTCTGTTTTCCCATCACCCCTTGTTCAAGCTGTTGGCCCTTGTTCAAACCCTCACCCTGGCTTCTCATTTCCTCTGAATTGCAATCAGCTTTCCTCTTTTTCTGGGTACCAACAGGGGTACCACTCAAGTGACAGAAGAAGGTCACCCTGTTCTCAACTCCCAAGACTGACAATACAGTAGGACTTGGCTGCTGGAAAGAGAAACTACACGAAAAATACTGCTTAGCCTATAACAGGAATGGAGCACACTCAGTACACATGGAAATTTGTTTTCCACCAAACTATCTCCACTGAGTAGATAAACTGGAATTTTTCAGGACTTAGAACTTATTTTGTTTGGGTTAACATACACATGGCTAACAGTAGGCATATACCCCACCATGAGGGCACAACTCTTATGCTGAAGAGCATGCCCAGCAGGAGCATGCTCACCCTTAAAACGTTTCTGGTTTTCTGGTTTTTGTTTTTTATTTTCAATTAGAAAGAGGTATGTTCCTCTTAACTGAATTATTCTTGTCAACATTTCTAAAAATCAGCCTGATTCAGGCATAGAGTACTAAGGTCCAGCCTAGTTTTTCAGAGTTATAAGCAAGAGAAAATAGAGTCTTATAAGGGAAGCTCTTTCAAATTCAACTACAAATGTTGTCACCTTCCCCACTTTTATGGTACCACAAAATAGAGTAAAGTTATGCTTGTATAATAAATATACATTTGATGTGAAAAATAATGTCAGTTAAATCTCTGGACAAAATAAAACCTGCTTTGGTCTTCAGTTACTCAACTGATCTGACAGACAAGTATCACCCGCCTTTGCTATAAGACCATGTACTCACGCAATATTTTGAAGTGCTAATTTATTAAAATTTTCATGCATAGCAATCCAAATTAAGCTGCAAAATGCAAATCAGACTATTATAATAAACATTCTCTGTACCTCTACATCCAGAAAACTTCTTGGCTGGGCTTGGCACAGCATATTTAACAACTGCAGAATTAACTCCTCAACATATTGTAAAGCATCTTCAGTAGAAGAAAGTTTAGGGTGAACTTGCATCTGAACCTACGTTGAACAAAAAACAGAATATAAGCCTAGCACTTCACTCTTCATAACATTTTAATTCCTGAAGAGTTCATATTAAAATGTAAAGGATGTTAGCAGCATAAAAAAGAGCCAAGTTTTCAAGTGGTATAGATCAGAATAGAACTATTTCACAAAGTTAAATTAATCAAGTGTCAACTGCACTGCATTTAGCTCACAGTACTCAAGTCTTCACATTGCTGCTATAGAAGCATCAAACATCTACAAGACACTAGACAACTAATGATGAGCAGTGGAGAAGTAAGGATTACATTTTAAGTTTTGTTGCATATTTTTATTCCTATCCCCCAAGCTTTATCCATTGCTAGCAGACTAAACTTTAGGCAGGGATTGTCTCTCCATGTACATAATCTGTTGAGACACTAAATTATCATAATGCATCAAGATTTTTTTTTTACCATACACACACACTTACAGAATTTAGTAACCTTTAAGCTTACTGTTCATAATATTTAGGCAAGTTAATCAACTTTTGTACAAAACAAAACAAAACTAGAGGTCTTCTGTAAGATGGACATTAAATTAATTGAAATGTTGGTGACATTGCTTTAAATACCTACTTATTTTGAACAAAACATAAAATCTCCAGAATAAAAATATGTTCAGTATAATCCTGTATCTCATCTGCAGTCAGTGTATCTTCACATTTTAAGCGTTAGTACTTCACAGTAAATTACTTAGTTTGTAGTTATAGTTGTGAGCAAACTCCCAATGTTTCACACCTTGTGAAGATTAATTTCTAAATGGATTAAAAAGATTAAATCTGAAAATTTAACAAATGTGGAGAAAAAGTAAAAGACTACCTGAAATAAAAACCTACAGTGACTGTTTTTTGTTCCACATGCCTGACGCTAACAAATGAGTGGTTTCTAAACAGTTTACATTTCAGTTGCACAAAGGTCAAAATCTCAGAAACAGTATATGTATTAAAAAATAGCCCAAGAACATCATTTAGTGATGTTTACTGTAGCTACGTGTGTATGTCATGGGAAACCGCTGGATAACCTTTACATAATTATTCCAAGTCTTGACATAGCTAGTATATAGCATTACATTTCCCAGTCCCAAATCTGACGATAACCTACCACACCTACTTGGCTGGTGTATCCCAACCAAATATCAACCTAATACATCTGCATTCAAATTACTCCATAATCAATTGGCAGCAATTCCATAGATAAACACTGCATTTATCCTATCTGCAGTTCTAATGGGAATTAAATATGACATTCATAATTTCAATGCAAAAATACACCACTGACTCAAACAAGGACATACAAGGCCCTCTTAAGTAGAATATTTCATGTTTGAGTACTTTCATCCCTTTAGATGTGCTTGCTAAAAATTAATGAGAATGTGGGTTCTGTGCCTGGCAAGCTATCTGCATACCTAGTGCAGTGGTCAGCAGCCTTTTGCTGATGCAGGTTAGAGGTCTCTGTACCCCAATAGCAAGCTACTTGCATTCACTACCACTGAAGATACCAACCCCTCTGCATTGAGGAAAACGCAGACACAGTGAAAGAGCAAGCTCTGTGTTAAGAAGAAGTGCTGTAGATCAGGGGTTTTCAACCTTTTTTTAAGGAGTGTTGATTTTTCTTCTCGTGAGACTCATTCTAGGCATAACCTTAAAATTTACACTATATGATTCTACAGACAACAAGCATCAGATCAGGATCCAGTGTGATTTTATGTATATAAAATTGTAAGCAGGAGTAAAGGTGTAAATCTCTCTACTTAAAAATCCAAAGTTCAAAACTTTTCCCTATTTTTCTATTTAGAGATGATTGCCTCAACTCTCAGGACCATAAAAGCCCATGAGTTGCATTGGCATCTTGCAAGAGAAAGCACACTAAAACAAACTAGCAAACAAAACCTGCCAGCCTGCAAGGGGAATCCTGCTGTTTCCCATGTTTTTCTCCTTTAAAAGAGAAAAGCCACGTTTTTCTCCATTAATGGGGGAAATGCATGTTTTTCTGCATCAAACAGAAAACCCAAATCCCTGCTTATCAGGCAAAATTCTAGGGCAACTCATTTGTTGCAGTTTTCAATGACCATAGTACTGCTTGTCATTCATGTCTGCATTACAACAGCACCAGAACGCTCCAAATGGGAATCAGAGCCCCACTGCAGAAGGCACTCTACAAACTAAGTAGGAAAGCCCAAGTCAAAAGCAGCTCACAATCTAAAATAATGCAACAGGAGATAGAACTGTATAGACGTGGGAACATCTAATATGAAAACAGGTCAAGAAGAAACTAGTGGTTTACCAACCCTCTCTCACTGTCCGCATGTTACATCCCCCCACCCTACCAGCCATGAGAGGATGGTCTAGTGTAGAAATTGTGACCAACTGCAAACACAGGTTGAAAACCCACAGTGATAAATACACATATTGAGCATTCACTTCATTTGCATTGACAAAGGTCATATATAGCCAACTCATACCAAAGATCAATGTTTATCTAAATTTTTAACCATTTCAAGTAAAAACAAGGTCTGCTGTCATTTCTGAAGGGGTCATCTTGCTGAGATAAGGGAGATGATCATAATAATGTTTTAAATCTTTTACAAAGATTTCTGAGTGTTGAACCAGTCACTTCAGTTAAATAGTCTAAAATGTTTTAAATATCTAGATAAAATCCCTTTCCCTCTCAACTGCTTAGCTTTCAGTTCAGTCTTGCATAGTTTACACTTTTCTATGCCAACAAGGCCTGCACTCTAGTGCTAGCTAGGGAAAGCTTTTCTAAAACAACTTTTTGCACCTCTTTTAAAGTAAACGTCTAACATGCTGTAGTGTGTGTGTAAATAGTACATGTGCTGTACACAAGTTAACAGGGATGCTAGTGTCACCTCACAAATCTGGGGAGATAACTTGGTATTTCTCGTCTGCAGTGGACAAGCAGACAGTTATGGCCACTGGATTTTTTTCCCTATCTGTACATATAGAGAGAAAGGAAACACATGTAAATAGTGTTAATGCATGTTATTATTATTAGAAAAATTAGTGAGCCTCAAATTATGTTACGGTAAATTTAATTAGTTTTAAATGCATTTATTCCTCCGTATTTTAATGTAATTTGACCTACCAGATTTAAGAAAAAGTAAACCAAAGTATGTGGGGATTAAATTCTCTACTTGGGCCCATAAAATAATGACCCCAAATTTACTACGGTTGTAAGCTGAATGCAAAATTTTTTAGCTAGGCAGAACCCCTTGTCAAAAAATCAGTACTCTCTCAAAATTATCTCTTTTTCAAAATGAAGATGGCTGTAACAGTACATCTACAATATATGTTTAAAAGTGTTGTATGCCAAAGATATATTATAAAGAGATCCCATGGAATAGTGGTCAGGGAAAAGACTGTATGGCTTTAAGATATAGAAAAGTTTATTCCTAGTCTTATGACTTTAAAATATTGGTACGTGGATCATAAAGTAACCCAAATAAAAACTGTGCTATTATACTGCTAATTTTACAATGAAAAGCAGATATTTGACAGTGACTATAAAAAACTCGATAATTCACTTGACAGATTCATTTGTGGATTGGTACCACTTCAAAAATTCGAATTAGCAGACTTCAGCTCCTTTCCTCTTCCAATCACCTAACTTCAGGAGAAAACATATTTATACTGAATACATATTACCGAATTTCAAGTTTTTGAAGAAAGATATACCTCTTTAAAAAAAAACAAAAAAACAAAAAAACTTTCAACAGTAAAAAAGGGGATTTAAAGGGAAGTGTTAGTGTGGCCAGCACAGTTTAATACAACCACTCCACTGCAACTTCTGCCTTTTTTGCCAATACATTTGCCAACTGCAGTTGGTGGTGGCAATCAACACCACTCAACAATGGGTGTGAGCAGAGATGAATGCAAAAAGAGGGTGCCAGAGTCGTTATGCCCAGTGGCTGCAGCATCAACTCCTGGGCTGCTGGCTGTGTCAGCCACCTTCTGCAGTACAGGAGTCTCTCGTGGGGAAGGGAGAGCAAGTTGAAGGGGCATGAGGCTGACAACTAGACTATGCCATGGTTGGCTGCATACTGTGAGGGGATGGAGAGGTTAGGGCGAAATCACCCAGTGAAGGGGAATCAGCAGCCTGCTGTTGTTAGAGGGCTGCTGAAACCTAATTTAATGACTTGTACAGAGAAAAGGTTAATGCTCCTGATTCACTATTAAGAGTTAAAAAGGATGAGGGATTCTGAACTAGGGTACCAAACAAAATGCTCATATTTACAGAGTTTACACTAGTATTTTCCAAACTGTAATCTAGGAATCATGCAGTAACCCTCTGCAATAAGAAATTTAGTAAAGGTACCTTGTGGCCCACAGAAAACTGAGAATCAAGAGAGTGGTTTGATGGTCCAAAGGGGTACACAATTCAAATTTCTAGCTTTTGGAATTACAGAACAAAAATTACTCAAACTGAGTAGATTCTTCACTACAAAGTGGAAAGAGAAACGTGTATCACAAGAGAAATGTCAGAAGGTTTACAACAGGTGTAGGCAATTATTTCAGCTGGAGGGCC